GAACAATGAACCTCATCTGCAACGGAGCAAACGGGGCATTGGCAAGCCATTCAAAGCAGCCTTCTGCAAGGTCAAATTACAACAAAAACCGGCGCCAATATGGTCGTTGGATTGTTTGTGCAGCCTCTGTGCTTTGGGGTCGAAGTGTCTACATCGTGTAAGCTGCCGCCTTACATGACATTTCGTGTAGGTGCTTCAGGCCACCCTAAACCCGTAAAATTTCATGGGCTGCGTCCTTGCTTCTAGCAAGGTAGCTGCAGCGTGGTTTCACACAACCACCAACCCCAACAGAAGTTAGCACTGAGAGCCCTACTCACCGGGGCTTCGAAACCGAGCAAGGCAAGTCTAAACTGCCCTTGTCATAGCGACCGTGAGCCTGCAAGCAAACCTCGAACCGTGAACCAACCCCAAGCCCCTAAACATAGCATAGAGGCATCAATATCTAAACGAATGTGTAGCATTCCTACATATGTACATACAGACAGGTAATTAAGAATATTCATTTATCCGCATATATGTAAATGTATATGATATGTACGTGAATGTGCATAGCTGTTTGTTGATGTGTAGATGCAAATGAATACGTATATGTATACGTATATTTACTATTTATGTAATGTATATACTGTATGTAAACGTCAAAAGACTGTCCTATGTCCCCCAGCACGCAGGAGCCTCAAACCCGAGTATATCCGGGCAGCAACGCAGGCCCGGGCCTTTTCTTTGGGCTTATTGCTTGCTTTGTTGCTTAATATGGGGGTTAGGAGCTAAGGGATACCCGCTATTCATTTTTTGAGCAGGGATGAGGGTTCATGGCTTCAAGTTGAGAGAAGGATCACAGGTGCCTTTCGTGTGGGTTTAGAATCAGGTGGCTCAGGGTAACACCCCTTAACAGGGATGAGGGTTCAGGGGTTTAGGCAAACGCAGGGATTTGGGTCATTGGTTCAGGGTTGATTTGGGGTTTAGGATTTTTGGTAGGGTTCTCGTTTGCAAGCCTTCATCTTCAACAAGATGAGAAGCACGGCCTGGAGTAAACTATGTTAGGCGTTTTCAACTGTCTCTTTAAGGGTCTTAGGTTGGTATGTATGTGTGTGTGTATTTCTACCCATCTATCTTTCTTTCTATCCATCTTTCCATCTGCCATTCATAGCCGTCTTTGAAATGAGCGACGGGTAGTTGGAGGTCAGGGTATGGTGCCTAGGGTCGGTAGTTCGCCAAGGGTGAGGTTGATCAGCGGCAGTCGCAGCACATGAGCCCTACCGTTATGTGTGATGCCTGCCCACATCATAATGGTATTAGTATAGTTCTTATTCTAGAAACGTTGCTTGTGCCATATAGGTTCTTCGGCTGGCCTTAATTACACCGCAAAGAACTCAAAGGGTCCAACAGACATGGAGATCGTAATACCGACGCGTCAGTTGCTCCGTGGTGGTCAGTCAGTGGTTTTGCTTAGCTCGCTTCTGCCGCTGCCGCGCACCTGCTGCTCAGTCACGTGTCTCAGCAGTCTGGCAAACTGAGTCTGCCAGACTCAGGTACGGGGTTCAAAGTACCGATCTACGAGATAGCAGAAGCCATATGGGTAGTTGTCAAAATTATGGTCCCTGTTTGGTTCCATATTATAGGACCCTAATTTTGACAACCACCCATATGTACACTTAAGCTGCCGGCCAACATTGGCATCCTCGAAGTGGAGGTGTTTACCCACACTGCATTCCGCACCAGCTCCCTGTTGTCAGGATTGACCCTGTTTCTGGGCAGCCCACATACGGCCTGCCCCCGTTGCCTAGATATCCATTCGAGATAAGTTTCTAGTTTCTCTTGTTCGTCTAATGTAGAGCCCTAATAATGAAAAATGGGGACTGTTGAAATCGACAGCTAGTTTCTGTTCCAGACCTAAGAGCAAGTATTTCAGAAATGTCAACCCCAGTCCCAAGACTCTAAGCAAGAGTGCGGCTGGACTGTTGCACAGGCCGTCAATCCCCCTACTTGGAGGCTCAAGGGGTTTAGTAAGTAGATAATGAAATATACTCATAAGTACCATAACCCCGATTAAGATCCGTTTTAGGGTGCTTATAAGTCTACTTATTACCTATTTACTAAGTCCTCCGACCCTCCAAGTAAAGCCCGTCCCAATCACGCCCTGGAGGTCTCCAGACTGAAGCCACTGAACGTTTCAGACAGTTAGGGCTTAGGGTTTGCGCCATTAGGCTCTAAAGTTCTTAGTGTCTACGGCTGAGGTTCTACTTCTGTCGAGCTCGGGGGAGTTTAGTTAAGCAGGAGCATATGATATAGGATTGAAAACCCGTCCACCGACAAACATCCCGGACTCCGCAAAACACTCCGAATGTAGCAGCAAGCAGTTATTTTATGTTACGCGGTTAGCACTGGCACGCCACAAGTTCCGCGCAGTACCTGTTGAGCTACTGCTGAGGTACGGAAGGAGCTGGGGAATGCTGTGCACTTTGCTGCCGCGACTTGGCCTAGCAGAGGCGCAGTAAAATTCAGGGCTTTTAGGGTTTTTAGGGTTTAGGGTTTTAGGGTTTTAGGGTTTAGGGTTTAGGGTTTTAGGGTTTAGGGTTTTAGGGTTTAGGGTTTTAGGGTTTAGGGTTTTAGGGTTTTAGGGTTTTAGGGTTTAGGGTTTTAGGGTTTAGGGTTTTAGGGTTTAGGGTTTTAGGGTTTAGGGTTTTAGGGTTTAGGGTTTATGGATTAATCGTGCCAGCGCTCGAGCTAGAGGAGCCTGAATCGTTGGACAAGGCTTCCTTAAAGTGTTTACTTGGCGTTCTTCTGGTTGGCTCTTTAGGCTTTAACTTCTTGGGTTTCTATATGATCTATAATAAGGAGGCTAAGGAACTTTTAGGAGGGGTTGAGAAGTCAGCCAAGTTTAATGTAATCCAGGTACAATGTGCCCCGAAACCCGTTTCGATCTTCTTAGGCCTCTGTAGTATCCCCATAGGGTTCTCGTAAGGCATGATGACAATGTGTTTCGAACGCTTTAGATTGGTATGGAGCACATGCACGTGCTCTGAGGCTGTAATATAGAGGCAGCTATAGCAGTTTATAGCCCAAAACCTGTTCTAATTAGTAGTAAGGTCCCTACGGCAAGTGTGTTGGGTTGGTTTTGTTTTTGCTTTTTGGGTTGAGGGTCTTGGCTCGTCTTTAGGGTTTGGGTTCAGGGCTAAGAGTTTATAAGGGCCTTAGGGTCTAGGGTGTAGGGTTTAGGGTTTCTTCTCAATCCAGCAGCGCACCTATAGATCCGTTTGTCAGTCCAGCTGGTATTGTATCTGACATGCGTAGCTACATGTGAAGCGACAGGTAGGGCTGGACGAGTAGAAACAGTAACCCTTCTTTGCATCCTCTAGCCTAACTTGCAGCATACATGTACTGTATGTAGCCTCCAACTTCTAAGAAACCCTAAGCCCCCTTTTTCGACCCCAAGCCCTTGGCCCTTAAATGCTGCTTGCTGTCGAGGCCGTTGTAGTAGACAACATAAACTGTAAACCTCAAACCCCTACAACCAACCACGATGGAATCCTCAAGCCCAAACCCTGAACCACTCTTCAAAGGACCCTACTTGGAGGTTCATGGGTGGTAAAGAGTGGGGTTATAAGTGCAGTAGCTATACTTATGATCCATACTAGGGACTTACAACCCCATTGACAACTATCCATGAACCTCCCTATTCTGAATCATTAAGACCCCTACATCCCCAAACCCCTCATAGAGCCGAACCCTATTCTTATTATTCAGGCCTCTAAATTACCCTAAACCCCTAAACCCTAAACCCTGAACCCTAAACCCTAAACCCTAAACCCTGAACCCTAAACCCTAAACCCTAAACCCTAAACCCTAAACCCTAAACCCCTAAACCCCTAAACCCTGAACCCTGAACCCTAAACCCTAAGTCCTAAGCCCTGAGTCCCAGCTGCGGCTTAGGTGAACAGCAGAGCTTTTCCCGATCTCGCCGAGCGCTTCGGCGTCTGGAGCCCCGGATCCACTTTCGCATTTTTTCTGAGGTTCCTTTAAAGGGATCTATAGGGGTTCCGATAGGGGTTCCTAGGGCTTCCTTCAAAGGGATCTATAGGGGTTCCGAGGCTTCCTTTAAAGGGATCTATTGGGGTCCCTAGGCTTCCTTTAAAAGGATCTATCGAGGTTCCTAGGGCTTCCTTTAAAGGGGTCTTTTGGGGTTTATTGAAAGGGATCCAGAGGGGTTCCTTTAAAGGGATCTTTAGGGAAAGGGATCTACAAGGTGTCTATAAAGGGTGTTAGATCTGCTTTCGCATTTTTCAGGGCGTCGGGTATTCCGAGTGTAGGGGTTACGGTTTTTGTTAGGACTGTGTGTATGCATTCGGGGCTTGGGCTTCAGGATTACGGACAGAAAAAATATCAGGCTGTCGTGTAGTCGGTGTTACTTACGGTGTTGGCTCTATCGGGTTCAGGGTTTAGAGTTTAGGGTGTCGGGTTTACGGTATTCGGAATTACTTAGGGTTTGGGCTTTGTAGGCTTCAAGGTTTGTTGCATCGTTCGTTTGTTTTCCTAGTTGCTTGCTAGTGTTAGTTGCAGTTGTCGTTCTAAGATGTTTTGGTGCACACTGGTCGGTTAAGGATGTTCCCGAAGGGTCCAATCCCATGGTGAACTAAAGTTATGTTGGTCTAAGGTAGTAACCTGGAGATCCCTGGAGTCAGGTCCTACGCTGATTCTACACAGTGCCTGGACGAAGACGCCCCTATCTCTAACTAACCCTATAAACCCTAAAAGCCAACGCTCCAAACACTACACCCTAAACACTCCTGAACGAGGGGTTGGAGATTAGGATAGGGGTTTCTGTAGATTTTACCCTGCCTCCATTGCTATTCCTATGGTCCTTAGCTATATCTGTACGCGACCGTGATTGGCCCAAGTCCCCCGTGTAAAAAGGTCACAAGGGTTGACTTACCGGTTACTTGCCGTGTCTAGCTGGTAGCCTGGGAAACTTCAGGTTATCAGCCGTAGTTAGCTCCGTAATGGACATCGTGCCGTTCACAACGGCCGCGGGCAACAACGGTGACGGTGGTGTTGGTGGCAGACAGGAGCAGGAAGCGAACCAGTACTTCTTGCATTTGTTGCAGGAGAATACTCAGGTGAACTTGTTCGTGAATGACCCCCGCATTCAAAGTGCCTTGGAGCTTCGCGCGGAACAAAGACATCGATTTGTATTGGACAACGTGTACGCCGAAGCCAACGCATACATTGCACACCTAGAGGCAACAGCGGATGCGAATCATCGTCAACAGCTAGCATTTGTGAGCCAATCCACACACCTGTTGGTGGGACAGCTACACAATGAAGTTCGAGTGCTAGAGACAATCGCCCGAGCAGAACGGCAATCAGCCAATGAGCTGCAGGCACAGCTGGCACGCGCACAAAGGGAAAGTCATGATGAAAGGTCTATGGCCATGCAGTTTGATGCACATCGGTCCGAGCTGGAAGCAGCAGCGCGCACGCTCACTGCGGAAAACAGACAGCATGAACGCCGTTTCGCGGAACTGCGCTCGAGTATCGAAGAAAACCACAGTGAGATGATTGCCTTTTTAGGGTCTGAGTTTGAGGAAAAGCTTCAATGGGAAGAGAACGAGTACTACCATAGGCTAACCTCTGAGGCACAGCAGTACGATCGCTTGGTTGATGACCTGCAGGACAGGAACGCGGAGCTTATAGCTGAGGTCGACTCACTCAGGACTGTCTTGTCGACAGCGGAGAGTAGCCCACCGCAAGGTGGTGCCGTGCCGGTGAAAGTCGATCCTAGTGAGAGCTCCAAGCTTCAACCAAGCCCACCGCAAGGTGGTGCCGCAGCGCCGCTTGTTCAGGGTCCTAGTCATTCATGGATTCCGACCCTTCCGAACCCCAGGGAGATTCCTGTGTCGCTTCGGACGGTTTTGGGAAGGACCCAACGGTATGACATTGGTGAGCCTGAGGATTCCAAGGCCCACAATGTAGCGGTATCTGCTGCTGAACAGAGTGACAACAAAGAACCGGCAGAATCTACTGAAAACAAAGAGCCTAGCGTACTTCTCGCTGAAGCACTCAAGTCGGTTATCCAGAAGCCTGACGATGACAAACCCAAGGCTAAGGAAGCCGAAACGGTGAAGCTACCCGACTTCCCTGACCCGGAGACTTACAGGAGTTGGAAGATCACAGTTAGGGAGGCCGTTCGGGCAGCATCGGACAGACCCGATGAGGCATTCAAATGGGTTCAAGAGGTTTACTCCAGGGACGCCGATCCGGAGAAGTTGAGGGACACGGGTAAATTCCTCACTTTGGATACAAAGATCCTTTCGGCGCTTTCGAGGGTCGCTAGGGGTGATCTTGGACGACAGATCATTAACTACAAAGAGTCTGAGGCAGCTGCTGGTAGGGCCGTTCGTGGTAGACAGGTTCTACTGATGTTCGAACACTACTTTAAGACCAACGAGGAAGCAGGCTCCCTCTACTCTGTAGAAGATCTACTCAAGGTGCAGTTGAATGGTGATGACCTTAGCACTTTCATTCACAATTGGGAGTCGGTCATCGCGGGGTTGAACCACCAACCCGAGGAGACTACACTGAGAGATATTCTACTTCGGCAGCTTCGCAATGCTAGCAAGCTCAAGTTTGATCTGGAAGTTTACGACAGGGCTAAGGAAGGAACAGAGCAGCGCACTTATGACTACTTGGTCAAATGCGTGAAAGAGCTGTTGGCAAGAGATAGGACTCGCAAAAACCGCACAGCAATCGCCAAAGCTCACGGTGCTAGATTTGGTGCCCCTGCTCCTTCCGATACCCCGAACACCCCTCGCGGCCGAAGCCAGGACAAGCCCTGCTACGCTTTCCAGCGTGGGAAGTGCCCACGAGGTGATAAGTGCCCATACAAGCACGTGAAGCCTACTCCTGAACAGACAAGGGGCAGAACACCTCCACGTACCCCTTCGAGAAAAGGTGGAGGTAAAGGCGGTAAAGGTGGGGAGAAGAAGGACACCTCCAAGATTCCTTGCATCTTTTTCCCCAAAGGCACCTGCAAGAACGGTAAGAATTGCCCATTCATGCACAAGGATGCCGCTCCCTCTGTCCCGGCCAAAGGCGATAAGGCTGGCAAGGACGGGAAGAGATCGCCCTCCGGCAAGCGCAGGCGACCCAGTAAGAAAAGGCCAAAGAGTGAGGACAAGCCAGCCGCTTGCTGTCTCTCCCTCACAGCCACCCTCACGGGTGAGTCATCGGCCGATGCTGGGAAAGCCTACGCAGTAGCAGCCCGCAAGGGCCCTGCCGGAAAGCCCCGAAGCAGAAAGGTCCAGTTCCTAAGGCCAGAAATCATTGACATCCCGCCTGAAGGTGAAGGCTGGAGCTTCGTACCAGACAAGCACAAGTTCGAATTCAGGTACAAGTCTGCGGAGCTATGCCCACCATCAATTCCAGAGGACACCGAAGAAGCTTTGCAGAATGCCCGTCACTTGGAATCAGCAGTGAACGGGATGAAGCTTAAGGTTCGGGTCAAGTGTAACTACAGGTGTCGGGGTAGAGAAGGATTCTGCATTCACTGCAAAGAAGCAATTCCCCTGCCCCAACTTGCTGCAGCGGCGGTGACAGGTGAGAACCTCGAAATCATCGCAGACACCGGTAGCGAGGAAGATCTGATTAGTCACTCTGATTTGGAGGCCCATTTCAAGGGCAAGGCTAAGAAGGTTGCTTCCAACCCAGTGAGTTTGATCACTGCTAACGGACCAGTAGACGCTGATACCAAGCATGAGGTCTACATTGAGTCATTGAGGAACCCATTGCAGTTCGTTGAGCTCCCCAACACACCTGCAGTTTGCTCTGTAGGAAAGAAGTGCATGGAACAGGGGTTCTCTTTCCACTGGCCAGCGGGTGAGGCGCCATATTTCATTTGCCCAGACGGTCAGAAGATGATTTGCCAACTCCGAGGCAATGTCCCCGTATTTGGCGACCGAGGACCATTGATGGCATGCTTAGCGGCAAAGTCCTCAGAATCTGATGGCAGTAAGGTTGCACCGACCTCTGTCAAGTCCGGTTCGGGTTTTCGGTAAACAGCTGCCCGCAAGGGCACGCCGCACCAGCTAGGGGAGAGCACGAACATGAACCTGAAGGTCCAGCTGGCGCGGCAGAAGATCCCATCGAAAAGATGGCGAAGTGCATTCCTCCCATTCCTGGGGTGGAAACGAGACAACTGCTAAAGGCAGGTTGGACTGTCATCAACGGCAGCCCCGCTGCTAAGGTGGCACATTTCCCAAAGACGCTTCGAACACCGGCTCCTAAGTTCCCAAGATATAGAATCCGGACTACTTGGGGATTCAAGGATGACGTGTGGTCTTTGTTGGAGGATTCAGTCAACATTGACGAATTGGACGGAATCTATGGGGAAGTACCTGAAGGGACTATTGCGACTATCACATTGTTTGCTTTGCCTGAAGGGGAAGTTGAGGCGCAAGCCGACAGCGATGTCGAGCCATACACAATGCCAAAGTCTAAGAAGGACGAAGCTTCCTTGAGGGCTGAGGCTGTGTCTTTGGAACATCGACTTACCCATAGACCAAAGAACCCGTTCTGCCCGATTTGCCAAAGAGCCAAGATGTATGCGCCCCAGGCGCGTAAATCTGGTGGATCCTCTACAATCTACAGTAAATCGTTCGGTGACCACATCACAGTAGATCACATCGTGACCGCTGATGCCAAGGATTACGGGTTTCAAGAAGAAACCGTGGCTCATGTTGTGAAGGACGTGTATTCTAAGTTTAGATACGTGTACCCTTCCAAGACAAAGTCTGGTGAGCAGTGCTACGAGGACATGTTGCACTTCCTTGGTACGGACGATGAGGTAAAGGTTATATATTCCGACAATGCGTTGGAGTTTGACTTTGCGGCCAGACAGCTTCGCGCTCGTCACAACACTTCTAGGGAGTATGTGAACGAAAACAAGGCCGTAATCGAACGAGAAATCAGAACCATTTTGGAAGGCACACGGGCCAATTTAGTGCAATCAGGACTCCCAGATCGCTATTGGCCTCTTGCATCGCAACATCATGCTATGTGTCTTAACATCACTGCGAGGATTGACAATGGTCAGATTCCGTGGGAAATCAGGTACGGTGAAAAGTTCAACGGCATGCGTATTCCCTTTGGAGCGAAAGTCCTCTATTGGGCCCCGAAGAAGCAACGCAAGCCTGAACGATCCAAGTTTTCTGGCACAGGGATTGAAGGTATATTCCTTGGGTATCACATCCAACCTGGTTTTATCTTCAAGCTTGAGTACGTTGTTGCTCCCCTACACAACATCGAAGCCGCGTTGGAAAACGAAGATCTACGTGTGTTTCGCACTAAGAGACTGGAGCTACCAGATGGTGACTTTAAGTTTCCGTTGTTGCAAGAGCCTGCCTTGGATAAACCACCAAGCCTTGATGCACAACATCACAATGTCCTTGATGAGCAAAACCCGCATCCTCCTCTGGAGGAAGGGGGGGGATACGATGAAGCCACAATTCAGGAACAACTTAGCGAAGACCTGGATGAAATGTTCCCAGAGCTATTTGGTCCTGATCGTGATAAAGATCCTCCGCCGAAGGACGCGAAAGAAGCCACCCGCAAGGGTGAGTCAAAGTCTGATTCCCGTGCAGCATTGCTTGATGATGTTCCGTTCTCTGTGAAGCAGAAGCTGAAGTCCAGCGCAGCAGTAGCAGCGCAAGAACCACCGTATGGTTATACGTGGAGTGGGGAATGTTTGGTCAAGAAGAACAACAAGAACCGCCCTGACGCTATTGATCATACTGCATGGAAGTCTATGTCGAAAAGACAAAGAGCAACAGCAATTGCAGAACATGAGAAGAAGCTACATGAGGAGAATGAGGCACTGTATCGTGAAGCTGTAAAGGTGGTACCTGCAATGCCAGTCCTACATGGGTGTAGCGAGGAACATCGGGAACGACTCAAAGGGCTATATGACAAGAAGCTTTTTCAGATCGCAGATGAGATGTATGCTGTTGTCGCCAAGGTCCTGTCGTCTAAGGAGATTTCAACAAACCCTAAGGCGCAGGCTGCCATGGACAAAGAATGGCAGAAATTGGTAGACAAGGGCTGCTGGGTACAAGGCAAAGTCAGGGAGTTCGAGTCGGTTGCCAACGAAGCTAAGAAATCTCAAACCAAGGTTCACTTTGGCAATGTTTTTGAGATTGGTACCCTAAAGGGAGCCGAGCTGAAAGAAGGTGACCCTAATCGTAAGTATAAGGGACGTTCGGTATTTCAGGGAAACAAAGTACTTGACGAAAACGCCGATCACGCGCTCTTCGCGGAGATGTCGAGCAGTCCTGCATCCATGGAAGCAGGAAAGATTCTTGACGTCTTCGGCTCACAACCTGGCTACGTCATTCAGCAGGCCGACGCCAAGCAAGCATACACCCAAGCCTTGTTCCAAGGGGTTGCCACTTGGGTACGGTTGCCTCGCAATCGCTGGCCTAAGGCATGGCAGGGTATGAAAGATCCTGTCGTTCCACTCAAATTGGCACTTTACGGACACCCCGATTCAGGGGGGATTTGGGAACATCACTGCGAAGCTGAGTTGAAGAAAGTCGGGTTCGAGGCAGTATTGACTGACATTTGGAAGAGTGTATTCTACCACCCGAAGAAGAAGCTGCTTTTAGTGGTATACGTCGATGACTTTAAACTCGCTGGCCCTAAGGACTCTATCAAGGAGGGATGGGACTTGATCTCGAGCGTCATTGATATGGATCTTCCGGAAGTCATTGGTAGATACTTTGGGTGCATGCACAAGGAAGAACACAACCTCAAGCTGCCCAAGGAAGCACACCCTTTTCGTCACGTGTTTGAGCCCGAATCATCAGCTGCAACTCCTGCTAGAAAAGAAGACTATTGGGACATTGACCCTGAGAATCTCATAGCAATCCGACATCACCGTTATCCTCGCAAAAGACTTTATGTCCCCAATGAGGATGATGCTAGAATGTTCCCGGGGATTGGCCCTCGGAGATACACCGTGGTGGCTAAAGCCACCCGCAAGGGTGAGTCGGAGGAAGTTGTTGTTGACAGTTGCAATCAAATGCGCGATCGCTGTCTTCAGGATTGGTGGGACGGCGAAACCTACTTCGACCTCGCAGGCCGGGAACAGTCTGATTTCGAGCTGGCAGTTGCAGCTGCCCGCAAGGGCAAGCCGGTTCGTAACAAGTCTGAGGCTAAAAAGGAGGCGAAGCAGAGCAAGTTTGTTACCTTGTCGCAAGACGTTAAAGAGAAGCCCGGTGCTATGACCAAGCCAGTCACTCGCATCACGTACGATATGAAGGACTTTCTCGACTCTTGCATTGATCGGTACTGCGAGCTTGCTAAGGTAGAGCGTAAGACCCTGAAACCAGCTGCAACTCCCTTCCATGAGCTACGTGTGGCTTTGCCAACAGCTTCCGAAGGAGAGAAGGCAGGGCGCCTGCAACCTATTGCTAGTAAGGTACTAATGAAGATTTTGTTTGCTGCTCGCATGGCCAGATGGGATCTTCTAAGGCCAACACAGTCTTTGGCGTCGAGGGTGACCAAGTGGAGTCCAGATTGCGACTTGGGACTTCACAGGTCGGTTTGCTACATAAACTCTTCGCTTGATGTCACTATGAGCGGTTTCATAGGTGACAGCATAATGGATTGCAGACTGTGGTTGTTCAGCGATTCCGACTTTGCGGGCGAATTCGATTCAAAATCGACTACAGGATGTGCGATGTTTTTGGTCGGACCAAACACGTACTTTCCCCTCAATGCCTTCAGCAAGAAACAAACATCTATCACAATGAGCTCTACTGAGTCCGAAGTTGTAGCAGCGAACCACGGTTTACGTGCCGAAGGTCTACCTTGCCTGAGCTTGTGGTATTTCCTATGGCGTGGAGATGCCGGCCGCAAGGCCGAGCCAAGGGCTGAGAGGGTGGATTCGATAGTTGCACGCATTGATCCTGAGCTTGATGAAATTCGTTATGGGTCCACTAGACCGGATGGGTTGTCAATCGCAGACATCAACGGCCTCTGTGTCCAACTTCCTGAAAGTTTCGAGGTTAGACATATGGAGGATAACCAGGCGACAATCACTCTTTTGTTGCTAGGGCAAGCTGGTGTTCTACGACATACTGATCGGACACAGAGGGTGAGTTTCTCATGGCTAAAGCAGCAATATGAGGTTGGGCATTTCAAGCTACTGAATGTTGGTACAGCCGAACAAGTGGCGGATGTATTCACGAAGCCTTTCACTGAAAAGAACAAGTGGACGCATGCCTTGAAGCTTATTGGACATACAACCAGCGCGAACGTAGCCGGGTGCAAACCCGAGTCGAAGGTCGAGGTCGACAGCAAGGTTTCGGTAGCAGCAGCTCCGGATGCATCAAAGGTTGTCGAGGACTTCGCTAAACAATCGTTCGAGGCTAACGATTACAGCTTCAAGACCTTCGAGAAGCTAGCTGGGCTTATTCGTACCAATCTCAAGGCATCATTGGCAAAACCGCGATCGTTTATGGCTTCTGAGAACATATCCAAATACTTGGTATTCGGCGCTTGGGTCCATGGTGGGTGCTTTGGTATTACCAACCGCACAAAACATTACCCATGGATTTGCAGGTATGTGAATGAATTTGTTAAGCGATCATCTCCGAAAGGGTTTACATGGACTTCGTTCGTGTTCAACTTCAATGGCAAGGCCCGCATCCACACGGATAAGTACAATCAGAAAGAATCGTACAACCTGACGTTCTCCTTCGGTAACTATACAGGGGGGACACTGTGGATTGAGGGCGCGAGCCAGTTGGGACCACCGGGAATATACACAGATGATCATGGCAAAGACCACAAAGGCTACAATTGCAACACATACCGCAAGCCTACTCTGTTGCATCCATCGACAAAACATGGTGTACAACCCTACACTGGCGAACGACATTCCTTCATCGCCTACTCTTCAGGGGGGTACCAGAAGTTCAACAAAAAGCAAAAGCAATTCCTACATCAATCACAGTTCCTCTTGCCTACGGCTCAGTTGAAGCTCCCAGCTCAGAAGGCAATGGTTTGTTTGAGGTGTGTTGGTTCCCCTCTCGATGAGGGGGGTAGGCTTAACAAACCGTGTTCTCGTTTCGAAAATGATTCGTTTGCACACACATCGCTCGAGTGCACAAACACACAACAAACTGCAAGCCTTGACCATGAAATCTTGGCTTCCTTTATGTGCACGCCTGCCATTGCAATTTCAGCTGGTTCTGATCTTCTCGACTTGCCCGAAGCGACTTCTACGATCCCCAAGATGGCAGCCATCGTTGTGAGCGACGAGTTCTGCAGGGTCAACACCTCCGAAGCAGACAGGGCCGGAGTTACCAAGGCCATGAAAACCATTCTCCAATCCGCCGCCCTCAACAACGATATCATTTCGCTCGGCGCCGATCATGAGAGCCAGCTCTTGGAGTCGGCGTACAGCTGCGTATCCACACAATGCGCGGCTGGGGTATCCTTGACCCATGCCGACGCAACCTGTGTGGCTCTGCGCCAGATGGCTGACTCGGACTCGCCAAGTTGAAGCCAACCGCAAGGTTGAGCCCCAAGGCCAAGCGAGCCATCATAGTCGTGTCAGACAGCTCCACTGCACTTTGCAAGAAGAACAGGCGGGGAGTGTTCGTCAAGGCCGACTTGGATGCGGAAGTGAACATCGCAAGCATGACGCTGGGATGGACACAGACTCGCTACACCATGTGTTGGGGCAAAACCTTGGCGTGGATTGTCTGGCAGGTCGAGGAGCATGTGAAGGAGCTCCGGAGCAACTATCCGGACCACACCATCGACGTGATCTGCTGGTGGTGCGGGAACGAGATCTCCGGCCAGTGGGGCTGCATCCCCACGCGGCTAGGACCGGGACTCGCCTACAGAGATCCCAATGTCACAACGGAGACCGTCGCACGGAAAGTGAGAAGGGCAGCGGATGTTTTAGCCGCCCTCGCGGGCGAGCCGGACATTGGTTTTGTGAAGGTGATTGGGCAGGTGGAGGCGGACTTGTTCCAACTCCACTCAGCCTACAACGACTTCAATGCCGCTATGTTCGAAGAGTTCAGGCAGCGCGGTCTGCAAGTGCAAACCGCGAGCTCCTTGGTCGAAAAGCTGGAAATGTATGACAGCTTTCACGCCAGTGAAGACCCTCGCAACCGCGAGTTATTCCAGACCTACTTGCATGCGACTTTCAATGCAAGCAGGAGCGAATGGCTTGCCCAGAAGATGACACCCTGTGTCAGGGCTTTGCTTGTTCGCTATGAGCACTTTGAGACTGGCTCAGGTGCCAACAATCCAGTGCTCCAGGATGTCTTCAAGCAGTGGCGTGCGGAGAAGGACCAGCTCATGAACCCGAAACAGGCAAAGCCAATGCCGGTCACCCAGGAGGACAAGATGTGGGAAGCCCCAGATGCCGCTGACGCAACCGACGTCACCAAGATCTCCGAGGGGCCACCCATGGATAAAGCCATCCGCAAGGATGTGCCAAGGATCGGTGCAACCACTGATGTTAGTGCTGTTGCGGAGTGCGTCAATGACATTGTCACCCAGGACGCAGACGGTAAGGTATCCTACAATACCCCGGGCACGGTGGAACTGGTGGATGAGGGCGACCAAGTCGACCCCATCCCATCATCGATTGGACGTGTTGTTGAGCCAGCGCCTCCCAAGAAGACTAAGAAGTCTGACCGCGACGAGGACGCCATGAGAAGGCTCATGTTCATTGATGAAAGCGCCCCGCAAGGGGCTGCCACTGTGCCAGAGCTTCCGAATGAGTACTTCTACAACGGCAAGAAGCCCTTGATGAAGCCCTTCAATCCGGAGGACATTGTGGGAGACAGGCACGTGACGTTCAAACACGGTGACCTGAAGTTCCTCACCAAGCTGCTGCGTGGCCATGAAATGGACGACTTCCCTGCATTGATCTTTGACCGTGGGTGCTGGGCAGACGTTGACACTCTGCTCCAGGTCTTCAACACGGCACGGAACGCACGCTGGGGTGTGAGGCAGCTGCTACGCGCAGCGAAAGCCGATAACAAGGGACGGATCAGACTTTTGGGCATTGATGTCCCCATGAAGGACACCCTGGGTCAGCCGCTATTCCCTGTCCGGGTGAGGATGGCCCAAGGGCACAACTCCAAGCTCATCGGCAATAACCCGGACGCGGACTTCTTCCTCGCGACCAGGTTCTACAGCGGATTGTCCGAGTACGAGGCCGACCTGCAGAGCAGCGTCAGGGGGGTCACTGTACTCTCCCGTGAGGATACCCCCCCGAAGCTCTTCCACCGCACGAATGAAAAGGGAATGAAGGGGATCCTCCGCGATGGCATGATCGCCGGCTCCGCAAGGTCAGACAGGTCCCACAACTACCTGTCCCCGTACAAGTTGGACGACACCCACTATAAGAGTGGAATGCGCTCCAACCAGCCGATCGAGCTGACGATAGACACGCAGCGAGCAATCGCCGCTGGATGCGTTTTCTTCGTCACGGAGACCGACGGCGTCCTCACACGGGACAATGTGCCTCCCGATTGCGTGCTGTCCGCCGTCGACACCAGCAACAAGAACCTCCCGCTCTATGTCGCCGAGCACAAAGAAGCCGCCCGCGAGGGTGAGCCAGAGCGCATTTTCCGCGCCAAGCGCGACTATGAGGAGGCCGCAGCAGCAAGCTCATCATCGGCACCGCCCCCAAAACAGGCGGCTATCGCTCCCAAAGCGATTGCTTCAAAGAAGATGCCGAAGGTGGTTCCCAAGCCCGCCGCAATCGCCGAAAAAGACGAAAGCATGGACTTGGATGAAGCCACCCGCGAGGGTGAGCCTGCTGATGCTGCTGGTGCATTCGACCTTGACGAAACCAAGGTTGAGGTTGAGGTTGAAGTCGACGAAGGCGATACAACGGATGCGGGTGAGGATGAGCCATACCCACTTGGCTCACACCCATGCCGTGAGTGCGCAGCAGTCGTTGCCAATGGCATGCTGTTCTGCCTCCGTTGCAAGGCTCCCCAGACGGATGATTCTAAGAAGATCACAAAGCGAGTCTTCGAGAATTCGAGACTTCGCCAGCGCCTTCTTGCCACCGCTGCGACCGGAGCCCAGAAGCCCATCGATGATCTCCTTGCGAGTGACCTTCGAGGCCTGGGCGAGGGACCAAAGAAACGTGGTCAGATGAGCGCAGAGGCTGCCGCCATTCGTGACGCCAAAGACCGAAAGATCAGGGCCGCCAAGTTGAACTTTGACACCGTGTCCGACCGCTTCGAGAAGGACGCGCAGTTCAACGTGAGGATGATGCAGGAGGGCCGCAACTTCGAGGACATGCAGAAATTCGATCACCTGTCGAACGCTGTGCTTCCCGATCCAGGACGCAGCGAGGAGCAGCGCTACTTGCGTGCCGGCTCCCATTATGGTGGTGGCAATGTCCCGCCAGCGAAGTTGGTCTATTATGCCCACTGCGAAGTGGAGCCGTTGAGGAACTTGCGGTTTATCGACGATACCTCGGATGTTCCCATCGGCTTGACCTACCTCGGTGCATTCCTCCCTCCGCCTGGGCGGCATTTAGCAGGGAATGAGGGAATGAGTGGGGCACGGCGCCAGCGCCGATCTTAGCACTGGGGCACTGCTTGGATGCGAAAGACATCGGCGACAACTCGCACTTCGTAGCACTGGGCACCGCTGCGAGGCCAAACCAACGGCAACAAATCATACTTCTTAGCACTGGGACTCCACTTGAAGGCCGAAAAACGGCAACAAATCGCACCCATGTACAAGTCCAACGGATTTTAAATCCGTTGGACTTGTACATGGGTGCGATTTGTTTCCGTTTTTTGGCCTCTAAGTGGTGCCCCAGTGCTAAGAAGTATGAGTTGTTGCCGTTGGTTTGGCCTCGCAGCGGTGCCCGGTGCTAGGAAGTGCGAGTTGTCGCCGATGTCTTTCGCATCCAAGCAGTGCCCCAGTGCTAAGATCGGGGCTGGCGCCGTGCCCCACTCATTCCCTCATTCCCTGCTAACGGCCGCCCAGCCGCGACTTTATGCTGAGGTGGCAGCAGTGAATGATGCTGCGAAAAGGATCCTGACTTTCGACGGCGAGGTCTATGTGTCGGCTACCACAACTGAAGGCATCACAACTGAAATCGGGCAGATTCTTACCGATAGCCTCCGTAGTGCTCAGAACCAGACAGACCAAACGGAACGTTTGGCAGAGCGCAATCGCCAGGCCGCAGTCCAGAACCGCCCATCCCAAAAGGGACGTGGTCGCACGACAGCACCTGAGCCAATGTACAGAGGCTATACTCAGGCCCAGTGGGACGAGTACTATCGCCAGCGTCGTGGAGGTTACACTCAGGCCGAGTGGGATGCATGGAACCGCACCCATAGGCGCTGAGTCCTCATTTTGATTTGCTTCGGACCTGCAGGGCTTCCCCGTTGTGCTTTATAAATGCTCGCTTTGGCAAGTCTTCAAAACCGTTGAAGCCCAGGGCAACCTGGAGCCATGTACTATCCGCCTTAGCTCGAGCAGCACGGCGAGGGGGGTGTAGATTTTACCCTGCCTCCATTGCTATTCCTATGGTCCTTAGCTATATCTGTACGCGACCGTGATTGGCCCAAGTCCCCCGTGTAAAAAGGTCACAAGGGTTGACTTACCGGTTACTTGCCGTGTCTAGCTGGTAGCCTGGGAAACTTCAGTTTCAGGTTGCAGAGTGATCCACTTACCACCGGCTCGCTGACAAAGGAGCGTTCTAAGGACAGTAATGCTTGAGGTGGTGGCTAGTCTTCTTAGGGGGTGTTTTCCTGTTTTATGTAAAGTTTAAGAATTACTCAACATCTCATATTTACTCGGAATCTAAGGGGTGCACAAGGTTCAGGTTTTGGGGCGTGATGATGACAACAGGATACAACAGGAGCGAGGCCGTGACAATCGAAGCTGGGCTGTAGCATTGAGACGAGACAGGGCTCAATTTTTTCGGCCTCGCCTGCACATATTCATGATCGGGATCGTCGTCGTGACCCTTTCCAGCATGACGACAACCAAAGCCATCCTTACATGACACTCAGACTGATTACTTATCACCATGGCTTTCGTCATCCCTTTGGAAATACTGCAAAGGTGGCATCCTATCCCTGGGTCATCTCGGTCTATGCAGGACGCCGCTTGCCCAGCTGCCATCGCTTGGAGGGTTCAGGGTGTCAGGACTCCTCCCAGGATCATGCACCCGAAGCTACCGCCAGTTTCACATCCTGCTTTGGCTTTCTCCTTCCATACAAGGGTATCAAAATGAGACCGTCAAAGTTAGATCAGTCCGCCCTCAAGCGAACACTACGAGGTTCCCATGCCAGAGAGAAGGCACCAGGCTCCTGTGGTATTCTTGGGCTTTACACTCCTGTTCCCAAAGATCAAGCTGCCCTACATTGAAGTGGCCCGAAGCCTTTTCAAGTACCAGGCAGCATGCCAGACCTCAACCACGAAGCATGAAACCAGCGGGTAGGGGGGATGGCGGTAGGGGACTATACTTCCTTAAATAGGCCTCATTAAGTCCTAATTAAGGCCCCCTACCCCCCCTCCCCCTACCCTTAAAGGGTCCTTGTGACTCAATGCCGGAGCCTCAGGCTCTTGCTTGGGCCTGGGCAGTATCGTAGCTATCCCAAGGGAGCAGTAACTGCAGAGATCTATATCGGAGGGTCCTGGGTAGAGTTATCGAGGTATTGTAGAATCCTACTAGCCTTTTCGGGAGACTTGGTAAATAGGTAATAAGTAGACTTCTGTAAGTCCTCAACAATTATCCTGGCTGGGATATGAGACTAGTATGGTTCATTAAGTACATACTTGCTAAGCCCCCCGGCCATGCAAGTAAGGCCAACCTGAAAAAGCAATCATGGAGTGCCTGGTTGTTTAGAATAGGGTTCAGGTGTATAGCATTAAGCATAACCATTCAAGGATATAGGAGGATACTAAACCCTAAAACCAAACCCTAACCCCCACACCCTAAACTGCTTTTGTACTACTTATTCAGACCGCTACAGGTAGACTCCCAGCAGGCTCCACCTGCACAGCGGGTTGTTTGAGCCTGCTTGTCCATGGCCTCAAAACGAGTGCAATGCTATCAGTCATGGGTCATGAGGTTTTGCAAACGCCCAAATATTTCACGGCACGACAGACAACCGGAAGCGGAATGGGCATCATATCAAACATAAAATATAAACGTGACCGAAAATGACAGCAGGAGAAGCATTCAGTGCTTCACTAGGTTTTCGAAGCATACGTTACATCGCTGATCCCGCGCCACAAGACCAACCCTCGAACCCTCCCAGTCTGCAGACACGGATGGGGGAAAGCCTGGCCACTCCTGAGTTCAGGGCTTAGGGGCACCCATACCCCCATACGCACCGTAAATCCTACTCTCCGAAACCATCCAAAACCCTCAGAAAACTTTGTTAAAAAAAACTTCAACCTCCGAACATGAAATCAACAAAAGTCACCGAACCTGCTCCGAGGGAAGGGAGATGACATGGTGGGCCTTGGAGGCGTTGAGTTTGTGTGAGGTTAATGCCTAGTAGTAGAGTCGGTAACCTTTAGCCTTTTAGGGCTTAGGGTACCCTTAAGGGGCTCCTTTAAGGGATCTAATAGGGGGTTCTATAATGCGCTCTTACTAGTAGAGTAGGTAACCTTTAACCTTTTTTGGGTAGCATAGTCCCTATATACTCCCTATATAACCAAAAAGGTTAGCCTTTAGTTCCCCATGATACACGACAAGGGATGGTTTAGGGTTCAAAGGGCTGAGGTCTTGTGCAAGGCGGACGTGTAGTAGAGGTCGACAGATCGGGGCAGCCAAACGGGAGGACAGGTTACCTTTTTCCACTGCCAGAACTAAGCTGTGGGACTGTAGGAACTTGAGGGTACGAGGACACGAATGTTCAAACTTATGGCTCCTACCTTCCGAAACTCAGGGATGTCTCTTCACGGGTGTTTCTTGGCACGTCTAGACTTGGGTGTGGTAGTCATTGAGCCCTAAACCCTAAACCCTAAACCCTAGACTTGGGTGTGGTAGACTTGGGTGTGGTAGTCATTGAGACTATCTTGAATGTCCAACAGGCTCCGGGGGAACTTTGCGATTTCAGAACTTGCATCTTGGGTTTAGGGTTAGGGTGGAGCCTTGCAGGCGTATGAGGCTGCATGCTAAAGTAGAAGGTTACGGGATCTGGCACCCCGTTTGAACAGGTGCCGAGACTGTTGTGCGATGGGCCAAAGCACAGCACAAGAAGGCATGGCTTTGCATTGGAGTTGGTGAACTGGGTCGGGGTATTTTTCATCGTTTTCTGAGAACCTTGCTTCCACCACCCCTAAACCCTAAACCATGTACCATTATTGTCTGATTTCCTTCTGCCACTATGCAACCCCAAGCCCGAAATCCTCGACAATCGGTCGCCTATGCTTTCTTGGCATGATCGCTTGCTTGTCAAAGGAGTTTACTGACATTTACTTGCGCGCTTGCAGAAATACTGGTACCAATCCGAAACGCAAGATGTTGAAGAATGGAAGAACGGGAATTCCCATTGTCATTGTGCTGAGGTGTACGGATTTGTGTCTACTACGGTTGATGATATTAATCTTGCATGACCCATACTAAGGAATATACCATACTTCCTGTAGTTTCGGGTCCTTGAGGTAATGCAGGATTTATATCATCAATCGTAGCGTAGCTCGCCTGTCGAAGTCATATTCCCAACACGTTGGTTTGTTTCGCCACAACTCGGTTTCAGCTGGCAGAGTTTCGAACTGAGGCCCAAGTCGTCCATGCCAGCGCTTGCTTCAAGAAACTAAAGGGCTTCATAAATTAGGGTTTAGGGTTTAGGGTTTAGGGTTTAGGGTTTAGGGTTTAGGGTTTAGGGTTTTGAAGTTTTGAGGAGTAATGCTAAACCCTGAACCCGACATTGTTTTTGTTGTTTTTGGGTGTGGGGCGGGGGGCCTACATGAGGGGTTAGAATAGGGTTTCGGATTCATAGCCATGATACGGTTGATGATATAAATCCTGCCTTACCTTGAGGACCCTAACTTATGGGAACTATGGGATATTCCTTATTATGGGTCATGCAGGATATATACCATCAACCGTAGCCATGATAGGGCGTTTTAGGCTTGTCGGGCTTTGGGTTCATGGGTTATCGTGCGCAGGCTTTAGGCGGATCCAGGGTTTAGGTCTCATGCGAAACTTTATCGGGTGTAGGGCTTATAGGGTTTAGGGTGTAGGGCTTATAGGGTGACGGTTTAAGGTCTGTAGGGTCTGGTTGCATGCAGTGCCGCACAGAAAAGTTTTGAAGTGATGCCAACCAGGCTTGCGCATGGGATGAGATTTTGGGGAGAAGTTCGTCAACTGTCAGAGAGCCCTGTTGACTCCCTGAACTGCATGTGTATCCCCCCAGACTCCAATATCCCTTAATTAAGGAATAAACCTCAAATTATAGTAGGATCCCGAACTGGCCCGTCTTGCTCCCGTGGCCTCCTGTACTCTACCGCTTTGTTTCCGGGATGTAGGATCCCTAATATATTTTAAGGTATATTCCTTAATTGAGGGATATTGGAGTCTCTGGGTCTTTCTTGCCAGTTTTGGGTCT